TTAGCAGTAAACGTCTGTAAACATCAGATCGTAGGCGCGCGCGCGAGCACACGCAATTGTCAGCGGTAGCTATAACAGATCATGAGCAAATGTCGATCTTATAGAATCCAGATTTTTAAATGCGCGAGAACGCGCGTGGAAATTGCTAAACTCACGAAAGCTATTGCATGAAAACAAGTCCGGTGACCCCTTCTTTTTATTGTTCCAATATGATAATAACGTCGAAAGGAATCATCAGAAAAAAAAATAGAAAATTCTACGGAAGGAAATTTGCGATGTGTGAAAATTGCCTTTTTTCTAGATTTTCTGAAATTCCGCTCCGTAGAATTTTTTTAAAATCTTTGTGCATTTTCCTTTTCAAGTGCCAAATGCAATGACTGAAAAAAATCACGGGGTCACCGGGTTAGTTTTCGAATTATTTAAGCCACAAGCTAAAAGATACGTCTGAATTAGACTATAAAAGCGTTGCCATGGAAACTGCTAGCGACGAAATGACACCTATTTTTGGATAACCAATTATTATATAATTCAACCCCGTAAAAGTGTTCAACTGGCCATAGTCAGTCTTTCTGTTGTATTCTTTCAAAGTTACAGACCATCAAAAAGATGAAAACCGGTACGAGCCACCTTAAGTTAAAAAAAAAAAGAAACCTTCAACATAGCTTCATCTCTCTTTGCACGAGAATGTATTTCTGCGTCTAAATCTCATCTGTCTTTTGGGTTGTTATTTTACCTTGCTATTGTGTTTCTCTTCAAAACTTTCCGCTTCACTCGAACAGAACGAAAAGCTACAAATAGATTTCACCAGGATTCGGTATTCGTTTGTATTCCTACAGAAGCGGAAAAATCGCAGAGTAAGAAATATCCCAATAGAAATAAATACGAGCGTAAAGAAAATGGCAAGAAATCCTGCATTAAAAAATAATCAAAAAGTCATCTCCAAAAGCACAAATACAACTTCAGATGAACATTCCGGTTTTCAATAATGAAAGAAACTTCTGTTTTTGCTTTATTTAGGACAGTGACCTGTTACGACTCAGCCATAACGCTAATTTCAGAAATAACAACTAGCACCTTATAATCCAATAAATAAAGCTGTGTTTACAACAGAACTACGTCTTAGCAAAGGCGTTCTCGAGAAGCTTGGGCAACCAGAAGTTAAGAGTTCTTTAACCAGAACTTGTAAGAAACGTTTTCAAGCAATGTTCAGCTTTTCAACGAATCGGAGGAGTCTGACGCATTCAAAACAGTCCCTTTGCCTCCCAGTAACCGTTTGCGTCTCAAAACTCGTCAACGCCTGCATTTTCATACGAGTGGGAAGTTACTCTCACTGAGGCCCTATTTAAATGATCTCAGATACCCGAGACAACTTTACCGGGCGTTTACGGAGTTATGAGTTGTCCCCCACCCCCCCAACCAGTCTCTTTCAGGCAGGTTTCATATTGGAAAAATTCTAAGCCGTCTCGCCACAGCCAGGAGGGGCGAAGTATTTATATGAGAAAAAGTTGTCCCGCCTGACGGGCTTACCCTTTCGGCCGAGGCGAGATAACTCGCCCCCCCGACTCGTCTCGCCCCCTCCCCCAGACGAATTCGCCATTTTCAAGTAAGCGATTGGTTGAATTTTTCAAAGAAAAACTTAGCCCAGCCAAGGTATTTCGGGAAAGGGTTGTCTTGGGCTCCCGAGACCATACAAATGGGCCCTAACAACCTCAACACTCACCTAACAGTAGATACACCTGACTGTTTGTGAAAATGAAATAACCTCTCTGACTACACAGACGGCTACAAGGATTCAGACAACGAGCTAAAGATTTTGAAATTGACAGTTTCGCCGTACATCATCTCGCAATTCACTTCATCTCAGTTAAAGTAGTGAGGCGTGTCGCTCAAGCTTGGCACAGATAATTCAAATTGTTTCCCTATTACCTAACTAATCATTTGCTTAATGGATAAAGAATCTTCGTAGAAAAAATACAATACTAAGATTTTGAGACTATTCACTCCCATCCCTAACGACAAATACAAAATAGGGTTCCCTCCTATGTTTTAATAATAATAATAATAATAATAATAATAATAATAATAATAATAATAATAATAATAATAATAATAATAACAACAATAATAATAAGAATAGTAATTTATTGTGGTTATCAAGTCTTCGAAGCGACATAATATCGAGATGGGACTTAAAATCAGACATCTTGCAAAAGAAAACATGGCTGCCGGAGGCCACTGGACCAATCAGTGGCGAATTCCCCACTACACCTTGAAGCAATTGACCGCTTTAAAAGATGAGCCGATTGAATTCCGATTGCGTTCCGATTGATTCCGACCATTCACCGGCACAGTAACGAATACGATGGATAGAAGATGCAAGTACGCAGCAGTGTCACGTGATTGGTTGGTGTTTGTTCTCTTCCTCCTTTTGGCGCGCCTGCCGTTCTTTCTCCAACTCACACCAGCGGTTCTTGTTGGATTCTGCGCCATCAAGGAGAGGTCGAATATTTGGGTTGAACGTAGCCAAGCACTGAAAAGGGCAACAACGAGTCGTTGAATATAGCTAACCTAACATCCCTAACATCAGCCTGCTTATTCTCCATACTGTTCTTTAAACAATTCCTATGGTGCTGACAGGAGAATTTGTATACCGATGAAGAACTTTCTTCATTTGCTGATCATTTCCTTTTTACTCATGACCTAAGTGTTTTAATCAGTAGCGATACTATGAGGAAAAGTTCGATGCTGGTCAATCTTGGAGATTAAGGCTAAACAAGCGCTCCAATCACACACGCGTCAAATCTTTTTTCTAGAGTCTCTCTCCCAACTTGACAAAAATGTGTTTATTCATTGACAAAGCAAGATTGGTCTTTTGCATAAACTAGCCAAGTTCTTTTAAACTCTAAGGAGTCCTCACTTTATTGTCTATTTTCCACAGTAGTGTATACTTTTTTCTACCCAGAGTAGTACTGATCAAAGTTCATCTTTTTGTTGGTTCTTGGGAAATATTTCGTACATGTGGAGTTACCCGACTAGTCGAATTAAGTTTGAAGACAATGACACTGACCGTGGGGTTTCTTAAAGTTTTCAAGCCTGCAACAGCGTAACCATTGCATGAGTTCTGACGACATACGCACAATGACCTGCGCATACCTTGAAGACCGGAATTCCTGTCGTTTCGAAAAACTGTACTTGGAGTGCGGGTAGTTCATCGACCTTCTGCCTGTCCATGAGGGCCTGCAAGACAAGTGGTTAGCATCAACGGTGATTGGTTTGCATTTGAGTATGGCAAGTTACCTGGAATAATCAGGGCAGGCCGGTGATCAGTAGTCGAGGTTCCGGTTCGAGATCTGGCAGGGTGATTAGAGAAATATAGCACCGCGTTTACGTGAAACAGCAAACGTCAGCTTGCCCTTTCACGTTTCACGTTTCACGTAAAATAGCGTGAACCTTACTGCTTCAGCTTCGGGAGAGCTCACGTCAAGGTGGATTTGAAGGCGCCCTTGTAAGACTTACAGGGAATATTTTTGGTTAAATCCTGACAAATCGTTTTCTCTTCTTTTTCCGACATGTCGTACAATTTTGAAAATGTAACAGGCCATTTCCGAACTACCATTTAGCCTCCTTTCAAAACGAGGCCTGGTGTTAACCATTTTTGTGAAAATGAGTTCAATTTACATGTGAATGAAAACTTACTATCGTACGAAAGAATGAGCACCAGGACTCGCTTTGAAAATGAGGCTATAGGTAATTATAACAAAACCAAAGTAAAGCGCACGCTCTGATTGGTCAATTCAGCGTCCTTTGCCCATAGGTGTGCGCTACTGACGTGAGCAAATGCAAAGACTAGTTTTCCCCGCGCGCTTGTTTTTTCTGGTCAAGTAAGATTTGTTAAATAAAAGAAAACTCTTTTGCTACAATGTATCAATGTTATGTTATAAAACAAATGGTAAACGCCACAGTGTACAATATTGAGTTATGGATGCACGCTTCTTTCGTGCTTAGCAACCTCCCGCGTGCATCCATAACTCAATAGTGTACGCTGTGGTGTTTACCATTTGTTAATTCGGAAATGTACTATTGTTCCAGACTGAAACAGTGAGGGCATCAAAAATAGACATCGCATACAGTTAAATACATATAAAAAATCTATAATACACTGTACAAACTGTCTAATGATTAACCTGAATGCTTACTACGTGCCAATATATAAAATATAAAATAGTTCAAAGTGTTTTACTCACTGAGGGTTCCATCTTTAGCGTGTTTCGCTCCAGATCCCCTTGTTGAAAGAACTCGCTTGTCACAAGGTGGACAACCTGGGAAACCAAATCTCAGATGTTAATACTCTCCTAGATAAAATTATTTCTATTCAGGAAACACAAAACTTTTTTGCGGTCAGACTTTCAAATCACTAGTGACTCAGCCTATGCCGGCGCTAAGCCCGGGGGTGAAAGGAGGAAAATTGAGCAACCAACCCCATCCCGAAAAAACCCGAGGTCATGGAAACCAACGCTAGAGAAATAAATAAATAAATAATGATTTAACAATGGACATCCACTGGGTGGCTATTCTTGTCCACTGTTCCAGATCGAATTGGAATTTGGAATGTTGGTTTTTGCGGAGGGAGGAAAACCGGAGGACCCGGGGAAAAACCCTCGGAGCAAGGACGAGAACCAACAACAAACTCAACCCACATGAGACGCCAGGTCCGGGAATCGAACCCGGGCCACAGTGGTGGGAGGCGAGTGCTCTCACCACTGCGCCATCCCTGCTCCCCATAACATTGGCTGGCCACGGGGGCAGCTGGACCGACTGGAAAGTGACACAAATTAAAGGCGCTCTCTGGCCGAGGCATAATGTGCAGAGACGCACGATGAGGACTGGGACTGACTACTGAACACCTGATAACCGCACACAAACGACCACCATCTCACCTCTTTCTGTATTTCCCATGGCTTTGTGGTGCCATTGAGATCACAAGCAGTCATCATCATTGCCCTAGAAAGAAAAGAATATAGCACATTCAGATCGGAAAACTAAGTTGTTCAAGTAGCAACCGCCTCCTGAAGAAGATACACTGGGTAGCAAATTGTAAAGGGATAGAAAAGAAAGGTTGTTCTAAAGGAGCAAAAACGAGACGAAAATAAACCCACGCTCACGACAACGCCAATTTGAGCGCATTTCGATAAAGTGTCATAGAGCAGTTTTCAATTGGGTCGCGAAAGTGATCCTCGATTATTTCGGGTTTACTTTCACTCGCTCTATGATTGGTCGAGAAAACTCGCGCTACCATATCTCAACCAATCAAATGCAAAACTAAAACCATTCTCAGCTTGGTCACAGGCGTTTTCCCGCGCTTCAAGCAGGTTCGTTACCAGTTTTTACTCTGAGTTCTCATTGATTAATAATGATGTCAACCTTCGCTCTGATTGATAGTTGTGACTACCTTGGTTTCGGTGTTTCAACATTCATTGAAAACTGCTCGCAAACAAAAGCAAAGGTAACCACCGCGACTTGTTCGAATAAAGGACAACATCGCCAGAAGCCAGCGAGAGGCCAAACAATCCAAACAAAGAAAGGACTAATGCACGAAACGGTGGAAAACGCATGTGCTCAAGTCACGATTGGCTTCAGTTTTGTATCTAACTAGTAAACGGGGGTAATCACAGAGCGAAGGAAAGTAAAGCCATGCCAAGAGATTCTCCAGTTTTTCTCGCTGCTTCGAAAACTGTTCTATTCTGCAATATGATATCAACAACTGCTGACTTTCAGGCAATCAAAGTATACGGCCGACTCTCAAATGAAAGGGAATCTTACTTAAGCATGTCTCGGTGATCTGGAATTTTGGGATCCAGTTCTCCTCTTTCAACCAGAGGAAAGAGGATTGACCGCTGCCTAAAGGAAAAGGAGAAGAAATTATTAATATAAACTCATAGCAATCCGGCAGTAAGCTGAAAGACTCCAAGAGCCGACGTAGCGAGAGAAAAACAGTCTCTTTCTTGTCATTCGAATGAAATAGAGGCCTGACTGTGAAAGAATGCGGTGTCTTATCTATCTTCTCTCTGAAGTGATTTCTTTTACTCTATTTCAAACACCGGTAGCACTAAATTAAAAATTTGGGCTGAGTCACGAGAGCTTCGCCATTTTCTCTTTTCTTCAAAGATTGAAGCCAAGTCACACAATCTTGATCCATTTCGGAGTACTGTTGCAAGCGCTCGGCAAGTACGCAAGTAGTTTGGGAGAACAAACACGTAAGAAGAAAGCTTTACTCAGTCTCTTCTGGATGTGACTTCTCGCTTGGTCTAAGTCACGCGCAACCGGTAAACTTGAGCGTCTTTAACGCAAACTGAAGGAAACCCGTTTCTTTTTTATCCAATGGGAAATAAAAAAAGAATAAAAAGAAACCATAAAAAAAGACAGAACTTCGACATGTTTTCATCATTTTGAACAGTTTTCCTTATGACATTGTCTGGGACAAATTTTTGTCTCGAAACGTTGAAGGATGTGGAAAGGTTTACCGCACACGGTCTCGCACGATGTACTCACCTGAAGTTGACGGCTAAATCCGTCGACAGGATCGAGTGTTTTATATAACTTATAACTTGTCTGTATTCGTCTGCGTTTAGTTTCTGGAAAATGTTATGACCCTTTCAAAACAAACAAACAAACAAACAAACAAACAAAACAAACAAAATAAGTAGCTGTTGAAAAGGAAACTTACCCCAATTCTATTTTAGGCGATTTTTAATGACGAAATGTTACTGAAAAAAGTAAAATGTTTAGTCTCACCTCATTTGAAACATTCGATACAGATTTTTTAATCGACAATGCTATGGCAAATATAGGCTAGACATTTTTAAAATTTGTTTTTATAGTTACAGTTTTTTAGAGTAAGAGTGTCATTTCCCTTCTCATATATTTTTTTTAATGTAATTTACTTTTATAAGGACAATTTCGATGAACGTTTTCTGAAATTCTTTCAATACGAACTAGTAGTTGCTTTCGCGATTTTTTTATGTAGTTCGTTTTTGTTATCAAAGTTGGTTCGGGTCTGATACGAGTCTGATCCTAGAGAACCGTATTATTATGATTATTACGTCATCGTTACTAACAGAAGCGTGTATCCAATAGCCTTTCTTAGATTTTTATCAGACATTTTAGTCTCACCTCTGTGCTAAGAATAATCACAGCATGGTTGAAATGATGATGCTCTAAAGTAGATGTAGTGTAAAGCTTGGCTAACGGCGAGTCAGTTCTGTTGGAGTAGAAAATAGTACAGACAAAATGCTGAGAATGCGGGTGACTTTAATTACTAAGAATCTAAGCAGTAGCAGACGGGATAAGCCGAAGTAGGAAATCATAGGGGTACTGATGAATTTTTAAGGACATATGGCCTTATAACTTGTGGGAGACGAGGCTACTATGTACCATGGGCAAGGATTGGGAAGGCCGTGCGCCATGCGTATATGGCGCAAAAAAATTTTAAAATGTCGCATCATAAAACTGCTTACCGAGCCCAACATGCGCCCCAGTCTCGTGATAGGTAATAAGCAGTTCAATCTGTGTATTCATTTTGTGTTACAACAAATACAATAATGAAATATTGTCTGGCGTACATGACTGCTTCTTCGATCTGCGAACTTTCGTGTTCATTTAATTTCTTCCCCAGACCTCTACTCGCACTCAGTTCACAAACGGACAAAGACGAAAAGGACAGCAAAAAAGACGAAAAGGACAGAAAACTTGAGTGCGCGACCCCGGGCCGAAATTTATTCAAACTTGTTTAATAATTCATTCAATTTATTTGGTATAAATACGTCATTTTAATGATAACGATCATACATCATCTTCCTATGTGAGGCTTTTTTTTTTAATATTCTTCGATTGATTTTTTCATGCAGGCTCAAAAAGCCCTAACACTGTTCTCGGTCTGTTTAGTGAATTTAGCTCACTCAGAACACACCGGGGCAACTTACTTAGTCTGAAAGGCGTTGTTGGTCCCTCTGTGGTCCAAGTCATGACACAGACACCCAACAATCAATCCAAGACATTCCAGATTGCTCATAAATTTATTCATTCCTCCAGTCTGTTGAACACAATTAAATAGAAAGAAACTAAAATTTACGCTGATCATAAATCGTTAACCAATGCGCCAGAAATTTAGGGTACACCCTAACATCAGTAAGAATAATTTCCGTACTGTTCTCTGAACAATTTCTTGAGTGGTGAAAAGGAGAAATTGTTAGAACAATAAAGACCTTAATTTGATGATCATTTCCTATATTCTCGTGATCTAGAAGTAGTATTACAAGGAGAAATTGGATGCTGGTCACCCCTGGGGACCTAAAGGGTTAAGACGAAGATAAGAACATATGCTTTATAAAGCGCAAACAGGCTTCTAAGTGTCTCATGTACTGGTCGCCACAGGAAAAAAAAAAATCAGTGGCAATCGACTGAGGCAAAGAACAAGTAGTGTAAGTATCTGAACAACTACGCACCTACCTCTCCCCTCCCCTCCCCTCACCCAAAACTGAGGAAAAGAACGAGTAGTGTAAGTATCTGAGCCACTGCGCACCCCAACCTCGTTCCCAGGGTCTCTCATCTTCCCTCGCTCGCTCCAGGGAGCGGGAAGATGAGAGACCCTGGGAAAGAGGTTGTGCGCACCCAACCCCCCCTAACCCAACAACAGTCAACTGATAACAAGTTACGGTTAATGTTGAGTTAGGGGAGGGGTGGGTGCGCAGTTTCTCAGATACTGTCAATGATCAAGTGCCATTTTGTTATTATTGGCTAATATAACTTAACTTACCGTGAGCATACAAAACATTGACTGAGCTACATTAAAGGCGTGTCTCCAGTTGTGGTAAATCACATTTCTGTAATTCTTCCGAACCGTTAACAACCACCTACATAAAATCTGAAAAAAAAGAAAAYAAAAAAAAAAAAAAAGAAAAAATGAAACTGTTTTCAAGAAATTGATCTCCGACGAAAAAATCTGTTCGAAAAAACAAAAAATCAGTAGCAACCGGACAACAGCAATTACAGAAACTAAGCACCGTCATAACTTCCATTGAAACCAAAGTCCCCTTTTTCCCTTTTACCCTCAGGATCTGTTCACCAACTCTCCTTCCTCGTTGGTAAAACACTTCCTTATGCTATGAGAATTTGGAATTTGAACTTTCCTTAACCTTAATTGTTAGATAATTTGGTCACACTGAAAGGAGAAGTTACAAGTTTTAAATTCTCTCTAAAGTGTAGAGATTTAATGAAGAGTCCATGAACTCAATAAGTAGACACTAAATGGATTTTATAAGTTTTATAACGCTGCGCTTTGTGAGACTATTTTACGTTTGTTTATTCAAGCTAGCCTCGGCAAAAAAAAAAAAAAAAAAT